CGGAGCCAGCGGCGCTCCCGCCACCGACGGCGCCCCCTGCTGCGCCGCGGGCCCCGCGGGTGCGGGGCCAGGCAGCCCGCGGCCGTGCCGCCGCCGCCGCGGCCGCCGAGGAGGGAGGCGGGGGTACGGGCGGTGGGGCGGGGGTCGTCCACGAGCGGGGACACGAGCTGGTCTCCGCCCCGCCTTTCACCTTTTGTCGGAGATGTGGTTTTCTCTCTGGCAAGCAGCAGGCGCGTGGGTTGCTGGTCGAGTGCACGGGGCCCCTGCCTGCACCAAGCCAGCGCACCCCCCCCGCCCTCCGCGAGAGGGCTCGCCGTCGGGACAGGCTCCTCCACGGCCTGAATCCGTACACGGGCGAAGCCCTGTAGTTTCTGTCGGGGTGAGAGTGCATTCTCGTCCTCGACCCTGGCCTCCGCGGGGTTCGGAGGCGCCTTGTTTCGGTGATCTGGGGATTGCCTGCTTTCGGTTTCTGGTCCTGCCCAGAGGCTCCTAAGCGGCCCAAGTGGGCCCGTTGGCACAGGCCACGGTCAGTTGCTCAGATGCTGCTGGGCGTGCGCTCTTGATGGCCCGACACGCACACACACGCACAAACACACTTTTTGATCCGCGGGTCGAGAGCGCACCTCTTCCGGCACGCACAAACACACAGACACACACACGCGCACACACACACGAAACCGACAAGTGTACGGATGGTGGACGTCCGAGCGAGGGCAAGAGTGTTGACAGGGAGTCCTCCAAGTTGCGATCTCTCCGTGGGGGCGGAACTCGAGGCAGGCCTGGCCTCCCTTGGCTCCGATTGCTCGCAGGGGGCGGTGCGGAGGGAACCCCCCTGGTCGCCGCGCGCAGCCGGTGAGGCGCAGAGTAGGAGTGGGCGGACAGAGACCGCGGAAATGAAGGAGGAGGAGCAGATGGAGAGGGAAATGGAAATGGAGATGGAGGAGAAGGTTTGTCGCAGGGTCGTCCCCGCTGTTTCGTTTATCTCCTTCTCTCTCTCTCTCTCTCTTTCTCTCTCTCTCTCTCTCTCTGTATGTCTCGTGTTCGCCTCCCCTCCCCCCCTGGTGTGGTAGGGGTGCATAGCTGCCCCGCCTCTGGGGTCCCCCGCGAATGGTTGCTTTCTAGTGCTTTGAAGTATCTGCATTGATCCCCCCCCAACAGGGACAGCAGCCCCTGGGGCGGAGGATGGCTTGAGGGGCAGGAGGACGAGGAGGACGAGGAGAACGAGGAGGAGGAGGAGGAGGAGGAGGAGGAGGAGGAGGAGGAGGAGGAGGAGGAGGAGGAGGAGGAGGAGGAGGAGAGGGGGGGAGCAGGACAGGGACGGGGAGGAAACCAGGAGGGGGGGGGTCGAGCCTGCGCGTGGTGCGCGTACAACTGACCACTCTTCTGGCGGGGCCGCCACTTGCGCGGCTGGCCGACCGAATCGTCTGCTCTCTCTCGGGTGGCGGCGGCGAGGGGGCGGGGGGTGGATGAGGGAGGAGGAGGAGGAGGAAGAGGAGGAGGAGGAGGAGGAGGAGGAGGAGGAGGAGGAGGCGGAGCAACATCCCGACGCTGAGCGGGAGGGCCCAGCCGCGAAAAACAAGCTCCCCAATAAGAAAGTTCATTTGGAAAATTGCCATTTTGGGGGCTCGGGTGCACCACCCCCCCATCCCCGAGATGCGCCCGCAAGGCTCCTGAGAGCGCCCAGACGGAAAATCACCCGTTTCAGTTTCCAGTTTTCACCCTGGAACAATTCCAGGGTGATTCTGGAACCTGAAACGGGCCGATGCCACGGAGGGAGGGAGGGGGGAGGAGGAAGAGGAGGAGGAGGAGGAGGAGGAGGAGGAGGAGGAGGAGGAGGAGGAGGAGAGCTGCGCCAGCTGTTCCTGGACTGACTTGGCGCGCCTCGGTCTTCGAGGCCTTTGAGGAGGAGGAGGAGGAGGAGGAGGAGGAGGAGGAGGAGGAGGAGGAGGAGGAGGAGGAGGAGGGAGGGTGGAGGAGGAGGAGGAGGAGGAAGAGGAGGAGGAGGAGTCAAAAGGGGGGCGCGTCGCGCGCCGGCCGGGCCCCGCGCGCGGGGGCCAGCGCGAGCGCGTGGGCGGACTGGGATCTTCCGAAGCCGCGGCGGAAGAGAGAGAGGCAGGGGAGCCAAGGGAGGTAGAACCACCCCGACCCCGATAGCTTCAGGAGGGGAAAAACACACAAAGACACAAATAGTCGTCGACTCCCAGGAAAAGATGGGAAAACATGGGAAGTGGGGGGGGAAAGACGAAAGCCCAGAAAATATAGGAAAATATGGGGAATCCTTTTATGTGTGTCTATTTATTTGTGTGTCTCAGGGCCCCTTCATAGCTGGCGTTTGCTAAACGGCCCTGGGCGTTTATTTCATCAGCCCTGCCCTGCTCGATTCCTTCCTTGGGCGCGCTTGCTCACCGGCTTTGCTTGTCGGGGTGTTCACTCTTGGGGTGGCTTTCTGCTTTAGTAGGAGGGGGACGATGACGTGGTTGGTTACGTCGCATCTCTTCACGTTCCGCTACGTTTGCCGGCTTCATTTGTTGTACTCTGTGCCCAAGTCGGCCGTGGCCTGTTTTCTTTCCCACACCAGCGCTTCAGCTTCGTTGCTCACGTCAGCCCACCGCAACAACGATGACGAGAAAGGCGAGGAGGGGGAGGGGGAGTGGGAGGGGAAGGAGGGGAATGGTGCGTCGAGAAGGGGGCTGGGGAGGGGAAGGATGAGTGGCGGAAAGAGGATGGGAGACAAGGAGGGGGAGGAGAGAGCGATGTACGGTCTCCGACTTCCTTGCTCGCTGCTTCCCCCCGTTAGTATCTCTAAATGGTGCCTTTGCTTCGGAATCTTGATCCGAGCGCGTTCGGAACGCGCTTCGGGAGAGGTCTGGGGGTCGACTTTGAGAGAGGGGGACGAGGAGGACGAGGGCGCACAAGGATGGTGTTGAGGAGGAAAAGCATGATGAGAGGAGGGCCAGAAGTAGGAGGAGGTGGAGGAGGAGGAGGAGGAGGAAGGAGAGAGGGTACTTCTAGTTTGTTTTTGCGATTTAAAAGATAGTCCGTTTGTTGTTGTTTTGTTTCGTTCTCTCTCTCTCTCTTGCTCTCTCCCTCTCTTTCACTCACTCTTTATTTGTTGTTTCTCTCTCTCTCTCTTTCTCTTTACATAAACCGTGTAGACTATATGCTCTATGTTTGAGCTGTTTCTCTCTCCCTCTCTTCTTCTCTCGTTCATGTACTCTTCATTATTTATTCAGCGACTTACGCCATCCCGCCGACACCTAAGCGAAGTGAGGCATTGTGGTCGTGTTGGTGGGCGCGCTTGAAGTCTCGTATGAGTTCAATGGGCGCTTGCTGGCTGTTGCTTGGACGCCGTCGCGCGCATGGGATGCCTTCACGTGTCCGGGTGCGTGGGAGGAGCGTCCGATGTGCAGTTGCTATTCTGCTCATGGGGGTCACTTCACCTGCGCTTCACGGGGGCAAGAACTGAAGTATACTGCGCGCCGCGGAGTGACGTCGCGGATGGTCGATATAACCTTCTCGTCTTGGGATTCGGAATATGGTTGAGAAGATGGACAAGGAATGGAGGAAAAGGAGCGATTCCCAGGACATCTGGACGATTTGTGATGTTGTCTGGGCTCTGGTTGAGGCCTCTCCTCGTGCAGCTGGGGGACGAGGGATGTCCTCGGGGATCCTCGGCTGCCTTCGGGGAGGCTCGTGTGAGCATGTGCGACGCCTCCTGGAGCTTCGGGGGGCATCCTCCGAGCCTGCGGGCGGCCCTGGTGGCAGCCTGTGCGGAGTCCGGCGAGGTCCCCGGGGGTTTGGGAGGGGGGGGCCCTTTGGGTAGCTTTGGGGGGGCCTCCGGGAGCCAGTGGGGGGTCCCGAGGGCTACCTTCTGGGGGAGGGCTTCCAGGGCCTCTGACGTTTCCCCCTCTTGGGCCTCTCTTGGGGCCACGTTCCGGTGTGTGTGTGTGTGTGTGTGTGCTGTCTTGGGGGCCTTTGGGGCCGTCTTGGGGCCTTTTGTTGGCCGCATCTGGGTCGTTTTGAGGATTTCTTGGGCCAGCTTGGGCCGTCTGGGGCGGCTCCAGGGCCGTTTTGAGCGTGCAGCCGCCAGGGAGCCGAGAACGCGAAACAAATCTTTTGTGCGCCGGCGGCCAGGCAGAGTAACTGCGCTGGCGGAAGAGCTAACCCAACGGGGGCACCGCTGTAGCAACTTGTGCCACCATGCAAGAGAGGGAAAACGGGGAGGGGGGGCGGGCGGCCGAAGCGGGGGAGAAAGGCGAGGGCCGCTCGACGGGTCACGCCCAGAGCGAATGGCGCGGCCGGCCCAATAATGGAACATCATGCAACAGCTAATTGGGAATCAGTGCGTTTTGCCTTTGGAGTCCATCTGCGGGGTCCTTTTGGGGCATTATTGCGGCGTCTTCGGCCGTCTTGAGACTATCTTGGGTGTTCTTGAGGCCTCTCTGGTGTCCTGGAGCTCTTCTGGGGCCATCTTAGGAAAACATCGCTGGATCTCGGCGGCCATGGAGGGTGTATTTGCAGGCGGCTCCAGAGGCACCGAGTGTGTGTTGAGGAGCCTGGGGGAACCCCTCGACATCCCCCCCCACTCCCGCACCCCTCAAAGGCGACTTTGGACGCTTGGGGGGGGGGACAGCCAGATTTGTCGTCACCCGCCTTGTCAGCCCCAGTGAGCGGGGGTCGGCGGATATGTGCGTGTGTTGTTTCTGTTGTGCTGATATATATATATATATATATATAGATATAGTAGATATCTCTTAGTATTTTTAGTGTTAGTATTAGTATTCGCATTATTATTATTATCAGGTTGTTTTCTTAGTATTATTAATTAATTTATTATTATTATTATTATCATTTTTATTATTATTATTAGCAGTTGTATTATCATTATTATTATTATTAATATTATTAGTAAGATTACGAATAGTATTTCTTTATGTCTCTCTCTCTCTCTCATCTCTCTCTCTCTCTCTCTCCCTCACTGCTCCCCCTGAAGAGCAGAGGTTCGGGGCGCCTGGCACGACCTACAAGTCGCTGCAGAATCTGCACCAGGACCTCCGCTCGGAGTGCCAACAGGAGGAGAAGGACGAGGAGGAGGAGGAGGAGGAGGAGGAGGAGGAGAATGAGGAGGAGGAGTAGAGGGGAGAGGGAGAAAGGAAAGCAGGAGGACGAGGAGGAGGGGGGGAGGGAGCAGGAGCAGGAGCAGCAGCAGGAGGAGGAGGAGGAGCAGGAGGAGCAGGAGGAGGAGGAGGAGGAGGAGCAGTTGCACAGGAAGGAACAGCGGAACGGAGCGGAATGTCCCAAGGGCGGCGCCCGAGACCCAACTTCACCAGTGCTGAAGCCAGCAGCGCAGCCAGCACCGCCGCCGCGAGGGGCCCCCCCCCTCGGGGCTTGCCGCACCGGAGCCCTGCGCGCGAGCCGAGCACCAGGCGCCCGCGCCGGCGTCGTGCCCCTCCTCCCTCCTATGCCTCCTCCTCCTCCTCCTTCCTCCTCCCTCCTCCTCCTCCTCCTCCGCGCCTCCTCCTCCTCTCCTCTCCTCCTCTCCTACTCCTCCTCCTCTCCTCCTCCGCCTCCTCCTCCTCCGCCTCCTCCTCTCCTCCTCCGCCTCCTCCTCCTCCTCTTCCTCTTCCTCCTCCTCCTCCTCCTCCTCCTCTCGACGAGCGCGTCCACCACTCGCAAGTGGCCTGGATCCCCCGCGGGGGATCCACGATAAAGTACATCAAAGCAGACACATGTTTTTCGGACGTTTGCGAGTAGGCACTTTGCGAGTAGTGGAACGCGCTCGGCGATCCTCCTCCTCCTCCGGCGCCCGCGCCTGGTCACTGGCCCATCATCGAAGAAGAAAGCAACGCCATAAACACAAACTGTTGGCGCTCCGCGCGGATTTCTTGGATCCGCGCGAGGTCCCCCCGGCGGCGCCTCCGGCGCCGCCCCTGGCGCGCCAGGGAGGGGGGTCCACTCGGGGTTCACTGCAGCGCAGATCCACGAAATCCGCGCGGGGCGCCAAAATATGCTTATCGCTTCGACATCGGAGGAGCAGCCTGCTGATGCCGCCGAGCGACGTGCACGAGCGGGCATCACAGCCGGCGCAAACATCCAAAGAGGCAGGATGGCCTCCGCATTGCCATTCTAGACTGATCCACTCACGGATCCGAGCCTCAAGACTGCATCATCGACTTCATTTCGCTTGGCATCGCTCGGACGTGTGCATTTTTTTCTCGGCGAGGACCTTCGAGGAGCATCCTCGACCATTTGGCGAAAAAAACACGCACGAAACTTGAAAAAAAACACACAGGAAATGCACGTCCGAGCGATGGCCAGTGCGTGGCACGCATCCCTCCCGAGTCGTGGCGAAACTCACGCCGCGAGTTGTTCGGCTCGCTTCTGCCTCCAGGGGCCCTCCACGGGCTCCTGGGCCGTCAACAAACAGAGACGTGATGAAGCACCGGTCCCGCGGCATGGCCTGGTCGAGCCCACCCGGGGGTCCGAGCCCGGGGCCCACCCCCCGGGTGGGGTGGTCGGCCGTTCCTCCGCACCCTCACCAGGCGGCCGAGAGGGGATCTGCTCCGACCCCCTCCTGTGCGGGACGCTCGCGCGGGGCAAAGGTCTCCTTGGCATCGCTCGGACGTGTGCATTTTTCCTTCGGCGAGGGCCATCGAGGAGCATCCTTGACCATTCGGCGAAGAAACCACGCACGAAATCGAAAAAAGCACAGGGAATGGACGTCGGAGCGATGGCCAGTAACCCCCGGTGGGGTGGTCGGCCGCTCCTCCGCGCCCGCACCAGGTGGCCGCGAGGGGATTTGCTCCGACCCCCTCTGGGCGGGACGCTGGCGCAGCCCTCCCCCGGGGCAGGGTTTTTTCGGGCTTCGGAGAACCCTCGCCCTCACTCTTCCAGACCGTCCGTGCTGACCTTTCACGATCATGCGCTTCGTGAATCGCTGAATTTTCTTGCGCTTCCTGAGGCTTTCGAGAGTTTCAATGCATCACCTTCCGCGCCTTCCGCGGAGGTCGGAAGGTATGGAAGATGGAGGTGGAGGGAAGGACCTTCCTCGAGGAGTGGGTGCTCGGCCCTCCGCGTGGAGGGCCGAGTGTGGGCAGGCGAGCCGAGAGAGGACCTCGCCCCCCCGCCCCGTGGGGCCCGTCTCGCAGCAGCAGCTGGCGGGGCCGTGGCTGCTTCTGCTCCTCGCGTGAGGTCGGGCATATCCCCCGACAGGCGGCTTCTGGACGAAAGAGGGAAGGTATCCAAAACAGATGAAACAATAGCCTCACACACTTTTTTCACCAAAAAAACACACATCGTCCCCATATTATTATTTGTCCCCAGAATCTTAATTTCTTATATGTAGACACACAAATGTACACCTTACACTTATATGTATCCATACATACATACATACATACATACATACATACATACATACATACATACATACATACATACATACATACATACCTACAGACATACATACATACATACATACATACATACATACATACATACATACACACATACATACATACATACATACATACATACATACATACATACATACACACATACATACATGCACACATACATACATACATACATACATACATACATACATACATACGTACATACATACATACATACATACATACATACACACATACATACATACATACATACATACATGCATGCATGCATGCATACATGCATACATACATGCATACATGCATGCATGCATGCATGCATGCATACATACATACATACATACATACATACATACATACACACATACATACATACATACATACACACACACACACATATATATATATATATACATACATCTACATATATATATATATATCTATATATATATATATCGGCGAGGACTGTCGAAGAGCATCCTGCACCAGCTGGCAAAGCAAAAAGAGGCGCACGGCATCGGAGAACGTGCGCGGGGAACGTGCGGCCGAGCCACGGCGAGGCGGGGGAGGGCCGGGGGGCGGCCCCAGGAGCTCATGGACGGCAAGTGCTGCATGAAGAAGGCGCGCAGCAGCCCAGACATCCCGGGCCCCGAAAGCAGGCTCGGGCCTCGTTTGCGGCCTCTCGCGGGGCCCTCACGCTGGGCCCCGAGAAGGGCCGTGCAAGGGGCGATCGGGACGAGGGCCCGTTCCCGGGAGGCCGACGCTGACGACGCGCGGGTGACGGCGACGACGAGGAGGGGGAGGAGGCGTCGTTTTCGGTGTCGTCGTCGTTGTTCTCCGTCGTCGTCCAGACCGCTGGGGTTTCTACATCCTGGGCCCCGACCCCCGACGCCATCATTGCTCCAACGCCGACCCCCAGAAGTCTCGAGTCGTCGTTTAATTCCGAGTCGTCTTTTGACGGTCCCGCGGCCCGGCGAGGGCCCCCAGCGGCCGAAAACAGCGAAGCGCCTCCCGTCGTGAATTTCCACTGACCCGATGGGGGCCTCGGAAGAAATCGTGACGTCGGTTAGGTGTTCGATCATGGACCCCGAACACCAGCTGCTAGGTTAGACTAAGCGTTGTTGAACCGCAACGCGGAAGAAACCGCAGCAAATCGCCGAGAGCCGCCAGAAACCGCCGAAGACCCTCAGGAAACCGCCAGAGGACCGCCGAAGACCGCCCAGGGCCAGTGGGCAACAAGGGGCCCACCGTCGAGTATGGTACGGGGGGCTCGCGCCGTGTCGACTGGCGGCGGCCCGGCCGCCAGCGTTCAACGTTGAACGCCGCTGGCGACCCAGAATCGGTCGATGTTGAACGGTCGGACATTACGGAAACGGCCGACCGTTCATCAAAACCACCCGGACCCGACAAAGGGCGTTTTTACTAGACGGCCCTGGGCCTTTACTGAACAGCCCTGCCCTGTTTGATTCCTTCTTTGGGCGCGTGTGCTGAAACGGCTTCGCGTGTCGGGGTGGTGATTACATATAATGGAGGATGACGGTTGATAAATGACCGGGGGTCGTGTTCACGCGGCGGCGCCCGGGATGACGATGAGAAAAAAACCGGCCGCGGGCTGGAAAACTATTTTTTTATCGCTCTCCTCCAGTCAGAAAATGATGCAGAGATAGCAGAAAACTATTTTTGAATCGTCCCCTCCCATGTTCATTTTTTATGAATCGTCATCCCGCATTCTGGGGGGGGGATTTTTTGACCTCGAGTTCACGGTGGAACGATCCCCGCGGCGTCGTCAGCCCACGCCGGGGCGGACACGGCACGAACCTGCCGCGCGTGGCGTCGGGGGTCTCGGGGGGAGGGGGGGGGGGGGGGGGGCGGCCCGCCGGTGTGCACGGGGCGGCGGGGCGAGGGCGGCCTCCCCCTGCTGGCTCTGGGCTTGCTCCGGCTCCTCCTCCTCCTCCTCGTGGTCTCCCTCCTCCTCGTGGTCCTCCTCCTCCTCGTGGTCCTCCTCCTCCTCCTCGTGGTCCTCCTCCTCCTCCTCGTGGTCCTCCTCCTCCTCCTCCTCCTCCTCCTCCTCCTTCAGCTCCTCCTCCTTCACCTCATGCTCCCCCTTCCGTTCTCCTCCCCCTCCTCTTCCTCCTGCTCCCGCTGCCATCTGCCGTTCCTCCTCCCCGCCTCCCGCTCCTCATCCCCGTCCCCCTTCTGTCTTCCCCCCAGAGAGTCCTCGTCGTCGATCTCGTCCGTCGTCTCCCCCCACCTCTCGCAGGCGCGTCCCCGTGGAGTAGGTGGCACGGTTGCCCTGCATGTGGTATGCGTCCACCGTCCCAGAGTATATTTCTGAATTTTGTCGGTGCTTCGCGTCTTAGTCTGTGAGGGTGACTAGCATGAGCGAACTCAGGTTCAGATTCCTTCGCCCCTGAATGTCAAGGGACCATGACAGAGTCGCCTACGATCCGATGCGGTGAGATGGTATCTGCTTGCTGGGGCCGCAATTCCGGTCCCACTCGCTTCGGTCCGAGCCACCAGCATCGACCGGGCCCGAACCGCCCCCCCCGGCGCGGCGATGCGATTTCGATCCCATTCGGCACGATTCG